GAAGATGTTAAAATGAATGAACCAATAGCAAAGCACTGCATTTTATTAACTAAATCCATGCTTTATTAAGATTTTAGTTTTTAAATAATATCCTTTTCAGTTCCAGAATCTCATCCAGGATACCATGTTTCATTTAGTCACCATGTCTTCTTAGGATACTCTTGGTTTTGAAAGTTTCTCAGACTTTCCTTGTTTTTCATGACATCAATTTTGAGACTTATTGGTCAGGTATTTTGTACTATCTTCATCAAATGGAATTTTTTTGATGCTTTTCTCATAGCACAACAAAGGTTATGAAATGTAGGAGGAAGACTACAGGGGTAAAGTAATATTTTCACTATATCATATTAAGATACTGTCAACATGACTACATTTTGAGTTCAACTTTGATCATTTGGTTGGCGTTATGTTTTTTTAGGTGTCTTCATAATATGTTATACCTCTTTCCTATTTTTACTCTGCACTCTGAAAGAAAGTCACTATATACATTAAGAAACAAGATTTAAAAAGAAAACATATCTTTAGTACCCTCATAATTTTTATTAAGTTACTAATATCCTAAATATTTTATTTGCACTTCCATTGTAGGGCATACTTCTCAAAAATGGGGATTATAAATTATGGTATTTAGCAGTTACAGAAACATATTATTTGAATCTTCTGGTTACCTAGTAAGAATCTCAATCCTGGAAAATTTAAGAACCTTTTAAACTTTTGCCCAACTGGCTTTAGTATGCGTTGCTTGCCTTACATTAAGTATTTTGTAATTGGTGCAATCAATACAAGAACTAGGATTTCTAACTCATAAGTGTATTTAGATAAAAATACACATTTAAACTTTGAATGTTTTACTATTGCTAATAGTATATAATACTAATGAGAAATCATAAACTTTGATTAATCATCATAATAAATACAACATCAATGAGTGTTTTCCATATATAGATAAATAGTATACAATCAGTAAATTCATGCCAAGATAATAATGAAGCTTTAAGAGACTCGAGATTGTGGTAATGTCAGTAACAAAATAAAGGTGTAACTAATCCTCTATTTTTCTAAAGAGCTTCAACATCTAGAGGTAGTGAGTGACAAGGATGAGAAAGACTGGGATGACATCCCAATGAGGACCAGGGGGAAAAAACAGTGATATCATTATAAAAAAAAAAGAATGGTGGCATATGACACTTGCCTTTATATATTTGAGGAATTGCCAAGTAAAGAAGGGAGTAAATTATGATTTTTTTTTCCCCAAGGAAGAACTGGCACAAATGGATGAGAGATATGAGAGTTTTGTTCATTAGAAGCAGAATTCCTAATACTGTCATTTGTTCAGTTGCTGCAAAATGAAGCGTGGTTTTCTTGACATCGAGAACCTTCCAGCAGGGAACCTCGCAGGAGATATTTCTCTCTTTTAGAGAATATGTTGGGGTTTTTTTTAAAAATACGTTTTTATTGATTTTAGAGAAAGAGGAAGGCAGAGGGAGAGAGAGAGAGAAACACCGATGTGAGAGACACATTGATCGGCTGCCTCCTGCACACCCCCCACATCCCAACCGCGGGTAAAGACAGCAACCTGGGCATGTGGCCTGACCAGGAATCAAACCGGCGGCCTTGCAGTGGGTGGAACGATGCTCAAGCAAGTGAGTCATACCAGGCCAATATTTCTTAATTGGGTGGGAGGTGGGGCAAGATGATTTCTATGGTCCCTTCTTAAGAGTAAACACGTAAAAATGTTAAGAGAGTCGTTGTTGCCCTGCAATATGCACGTGTCCCAATGTATTGCCTTGACTTGCAGTCTGACATATGCCTTCCAGTTTATTTACTCCTGGCCCTCTGGGACACTGTATTGTCCACCTGATGCCTACTAGAAAGTCACTCAGTGATTTAGATGAAGAAGCCTTATTTCAGAAACACACTTGTTTATCAGACACCTCTGTTTATGGCAGGTAGAGATGTATAAGGGACATAAGGAACTATGATCAGACAACAGTCCATCCACAGGAATCATCGGTGGCAGCCAGTGCTGCTGACACATCCTTTACCACGTGAAGACAAGTCCTGAAAAGAGCCTTTTCTACCATTTACTGAGTGCACTGTAACTACTTTGGAGCCACTTGAATAATGGTAAAGTAAAATTAAAATGTGTTTGTCTGAGTATTTTAACCATCCACTGACATCTGAAAAAATGTTTTTAAATAGCAACTACAAAACTACAATTACATGAAATTTCCACCTAAAACAGGTATGAAAATCTCCCAATTTCACAGAATTATCACTGCTGGGATTGGTGAACAAAGACAATGAAAAATAGGTAGCGTGCCCTACTTCGTGTGTCAGTGGATGGAGCGTTGGCCTGTGGACCGAGGGGTCCAGGGTTCGATTATGGTCGGGGGCGCATGCCTGGGTTGCGGGCTCAGTCCCCAGTGTGGGGCGTGTAGGAGGCAGCCAATCAATGATTCTCTCTCATCATTGATGTTTCTGTCTCTCTCTCTCTCTCTCCCACTGTCCCTCCCTCTCTGAGGTCAATAAAAATATATATATTTTAAAAAGTAGTGTATTGCTCCACTTATTCTAGTACTGGTTTGTTTATTATTTGTTTTTTTATTTTCCTTTTTTTTTTTTTAAAAAAAAAGAAATAACTTTTAACTTCCTCCTCAGTCTATTCTTTAATCGGGCCACACATGAAAACATGATTCATTATTTAAAAATCCTATAAAGCTACGATTTTAATATTCCACTTTTTATTCTAACCATCACTTACGTATATGTAAGGACATTTCAAGTACGTCATTGCAAGCTCATGATTTTATTTTTAACTTATTTTATAATTATTGTGAATGAGAACTGATTACGAGATCAAAAGCACATGCAATCAGAATGTAATCACAGGGAGGTCAGAGAACAAGTAAGTAACTTAGAAAAGAGCCACCCAATCATAAGAGACATGGGGCTCTCTCAGCACCAAAACAGTAAAGAGAGGAGAAGTGTCTGCTTTCCTGAGTGTCAAGCTGAGCACTGATCACAAGGCTGAAAAACAGGCAGCAAAATGTGGCTTTCCCTGCTTTGTGCTTACAGAGGAGAGAGACACTTATATCTTCACTTTCTGTTTAAAATAAAGTACTGACTTTTCAAATGCCTGTTTTCCAGTTTATAGCATTCTAACCGAACATACATTCCCATGAAACAGTTTTTAGGAGTACTCCTAGGTTTGGGGTGGTCAATGGAAATTTGGATCTAGGTAAAGAGAAAAAGTTTAACATTCTATTCTTCTTAAGTTTTTTTCTAATAAATATAAGATCTTGGCTCATTTGGGGAATTAATTATAGCATGCAATGAAATACAAGAGTTCGTACTCTCACAAGGTGTGTCTGTCTTTTCTTTAACCCTAGAACATCCCTGTAAAGGAATAAGGGTTGAGAATAAGAGGCGTAATCCTCACAGATCTTCTCCTTTTTCTTTCTGTCACTCTGATACCTCTTGTTATCATGTGTAATTCCAATATGATGAAACCACCACATTCACAAAGATTGAGTGTTGCAGGGCTATTCTTGCCCAAGACAGACATGCCCAAGCCAGGCCTCCTTGTATAGAGATATCCCAAGTAAGGAAGGCATCGTGAAAAAAATCACCTGACTTTATTATGAGACACAGGTGAAACATACCAAATAAACAAACATTTAAAAAAGGTAGCATAATACCAAGTATTGATATGACCTGTGAAAAAAGACCTGCCAACCTTAAATTTCACAGTATCTTGGAAAACTTTGGCATTACCAGAAAATGCCGAATATGTACATATCCCATGACTACTGATTTCATGCCCAGATAATCCCTAGGCATCCGCACAGGAGATGTATGCGTGATCATCTATGACACCCATCATTGCCTTTAATGGCTGACAGTCTCCCTATTTTTAAGAAATATTTGCCACAATCCTTTTCAGATTTCAAAGCAAAATCTGCGCAAATAAATTTGGGTCTGGAGAGTCATTTACGTGAAAAGAGTTCTGGATGTTCATGAGCTGGTGAAAAAAAAGTTACATACTTTTGCTTGACTTTTGAATTTTTCCTAAGATTTCTTAAATGCTCTAGCATGACATAGAAGAGTTGTGGAAAGAGGAGAGTGTTTAAGACATGGATAATATGTAATATATATTTTAAAAGAGTAATTAAGATCAAATAAGTTAAATGCTATACACCAATACTCAATGAAGTGAGGTTTACAGTCTCAGATTTTCTGTTAAATGATACTTACCCAAAAAGTACGGGGAAGAAAGGATTGACAAGTTTATTAATCAACAGCGATAATCATAAGGAAGTAATAATAAAGAGACAGGAATGGGAAAAGAAAAAAAAAAGTTTGAAGTAGAAAGACAGAGAAAAATTAGAGAAGTCACTCCTGATAATATGGGTATGGCTCTAACGTGCGAATTACCATTTCCCACAAGAACATCTCTGACTGCTCCCGTGCCAGTGTAGTCTTAGGTAAGATCTTCAGGCTATGTGCCAACTCTTTTCATCCTCCCTCCACTTCAAAAATTTCTACCTGTGATTCTAAGGCCACTAAAGGGAAATCAACAATACTTGAAATTTAGTATTGTTTCATTCCAGAATACTTCTGTATACACACACACAAACACACACATGCACGCACGCACACACACACATGCACACACATATCTCTATATATTTTATATATAAAGTGACTACATGCTAAATCTATATTTTCAGTTATTTAACTAATGCAGATGTTTAGCACGTTTCTGGATGGAAACCTATGTGTGAAAGTATTCTTGAACTGATACATTTGGCTACTTTCTGGTCAGTATTCCAGAAAGCTTTCATGATGGATTTTCTTAGTTGAACATCAACTAGCTGGTATCAAGTTATATATACACGCGCACGTGTGTGTGTGCGTGTGTGTGTGTGTGTATTTTTAAAAGAAATTTACCAAAGTGAGAAACTCTACAGCCAGATATTACTTGAATCACTACTCACATTGTGCTTTGTGAGGTTTGAAATATTAGTTGCTATTGCTTGCAGCCAGTCGATGCAGTCGTCAGCAGAGAGGCACTGAATGATCCCACTGCAGACCCCGTCCACAGCAATGACTTGAAAAGCATTCTGCCTGCAGATATGTCAGCACAGATCAGATCAAAATGTCATCTCATGTATCTATTTGCAGCTTGAAATCAAACCTGTTGAAAAATTCTTCTCTCAAACTATATAAATACAGCTTCAAGTTCAGACTTGTTTGCTACTCTTAATATCTGTTTTTAAATAGAAGACTAAAGATAAACTAAGATAACATGTAATTTTGAATTCTCAGAAAGCATCTTGAGATTCAGATACATTTGAAGACATTTTGAGTTATAAAACATATATTATGTA